GGGGGGGGGGGGGGGGGGGGCAAAGGGCTTTTGTCTTTGGAAGCAGATGTTTAACTTAGATAGTGTCATTTCACCGATATATTTTTCTATTCTTCCAGCTTCAAATCTACTCACTGTTGCAACGTCCCTGTTGTTTTCTGTTAACCTAGAAGTGGCCTGTTGCATATATCTCGTTTTATTCATTACTATTTCGAGCTTCTTGTTTGTGGCGCTAGTAGCATCTGTATCTTCTTTGCACATTCTTGAGTCGTTCTTCAAATGGGAATGGTATTGGAGAAATGGTCATATATTGGGCCGCGAGGGCTTTGGTCTAGTAGTAAGAGTGTAGGGCGTGATGTGTGGGGGTAAGCACACGTCATTGGTTCAGCACTGCCGCTGACAAGCCTGGTATTNCCCCCCCCCCTTTTTCTTTCTTTTCCAGTACCTAATTCTTGATTTTTTGGGATAGTCATAGTATGATACATAGTGGGTTCTATGCATCTATAGTCATCTGGGGTTCCTTATTTGTTGGTTCTGATCATAAAGCTTTAATATTTGATTTTCATGCATCTTTAATCTTCTCTGTTTGTTGCCTATGCACTTAATAAAGCTTCGAACTTGCTTTTTCCTTTGAGTTTGAGATTTTTAGGTTATACTATAAACTTGGATAGAAGGGGGAGCCTTGGAGCAAATGTAAAGTCGTCCCCGCGTGACCTGTAGGTCACGTGTTCGAGACGTGGAAGCGTCTCTAATGCTTGCATTAGGGTAGGCTGTCTACATCACACCCTTGAGGTGCGGCCCTTCTCCGGACCTTGTGTGAACGCGGAATGCCTTGTGCACCGGGCTGCAAAAAGGGAAAAAAAACTTGGATAGTTGCGTTGCATGATAATTTGGTTAAGCATCTTTTTCATGTCTGTGTTCTCAAGATGACACCGTTTTGCTATTTTCAATCTAAAGTATCAATTTTCATAAGCAATTGCTACAAAAGCTTTTGATTTGTTTCTAATATTTATAATATGGATTATAACATTGTTAAGAAAGTGATTATTTTTCTTATGTTTAAAAGAGGAGTGCAGATTTATTTATTTGCTTAATGAATATTTTAGTACACCTCATCTTAATTTTTTTTCCTTAAAAATGTGCTTTTGATTCGCTGTAATTTAATGTATTTTTTATACTGCTAATTAGATGTTAACGACGTATTGTAATTGAAGCAAAACTAGACTTGATAAAGTGATTAATAAGCCAATGGTATTATGGAAAACAAATCCAAGTTAAAAGCAATCACATGTTTAGATGATACACTACATATACAATCTTAACAAACATGCAATAATGAACACTATATTTTGTCGCTTATAATTCACCATATTATTATCATCGTATCACTTGACTATGGACCAAATGGTTTGATGTTTGTTTGGTATCATAGTTTATCTTTTGCTTTGAGAACTCTCTGTGATTGGCGATGATGGGATTGCTCTAACCCATTAGGAATTGACCAGCTTCTTATTAGGAATTCTTTTCTAGAGTGGGTGGACAAAGAGTCGTAGTGGTTTTTTTTTTTTTTTTTTTTCCCCCCAAAAAAAAAAGATAGCCCATATATCGGATTACCTTAGTCTACTAAGCTATTTCTCAGTTGCATTGATAATGCATCAGTAATTATGTCATCATGCTGCTTAATGCTCACGATGTGGTTTCAGTATAATGGTTACTTTATCTTGATTATACTCATAATTTTCCTAATTCTAAATTGTGCTTCAGCCTGCACCATTGGTAGCAGGACTGGCTATAGCTGCCGCTGCATATGCTGGAAGGTATGGAATCCAGGCATGGAAAGCATTCAAGGCCAGACCTCCGACTGCAAGAATGCGTAAGTTTTATGAAGGAGGTTTTCAGCCTAAAATGAACAGGAGGGAAGCAGCTCTTATTCTTGGAGTCAGGTGTGTTCTCTCATTCATGTTAACACCTTGCTGCTTTTCCAGTATATCACCATACTCCCGCTATGACTTTAGTGTTGAGCCAAAAGTTATTAAGTAAAGTACATAACAGATGAACTTTGCCTAAGTAAAATAATTGAAATTCTTTATTATCCAGTCAAGTTTATTCAGTAAAGGAAATCTGGTAAGGTTTCCCGGCCTACCTCTTTTTTGCCTTCTTTCTTTTCCTTGTCTGATTCAAGTATTACTATTCATGCTTGATCATAGCATACGGTTCCCAGAGACATGTAATTTTCATGTAAATGTAGAATTTCAATTTCTGTGCCTTACTAGGAATGTAAAAGTGAAGGGGTTACAGATAGTAATAAGTATGAGCTTTTTTTAGTAGAGGTTAATTATTTATGCTGTCCCCGTAGCCTGGCCAATATTGATATTCTAATTACTTCTAACTTAATAAAACATAGTTACTGAAATTTCTTGTTGTAGACTTAGCTATAAATGTATTTTCCATCTGTCAGTATGACTCAACTTGCCCTTGTTACCCGTATTATAGAACTGTAAGTTGGTGCATCCTTGAAACTATTAAATTTGTTTTTGATAACCGAAGAAATCCCCGAGGACAAGCGGCGCAAGGATCGAGACTTGGTGGATAATGAATCCCCCACCCCCCGCGCTCGCGCAATGGTGTTTCACCGAGTTCAATAGCTTGTCTTGTGTGAAAAAAACAGTTGATGCTTTGATCCTCTCTTCCTATGTATTGTGATGATTCTGCCTTTTGTGTTTAATTTGAGAAACAAGATTCTAGATCTTGCATTTGTCTCTTCACTTTTTAAGTTGATTCAGAAATTGAACACCACTTTCAGCAGCACATGAAGAGATAAGTGACATTTTTCTTTCAATTTCCTGGACCTCATTTCTTGACTATGGTCTAAATTTTGTGTTTGTTAAGACATCGTGCTTCGTAGTACTGTATATCTCTCTTTCCACCCCATCCCAAGAAAGAAACAGACTTAGTACAATGCTATTCAATAGAGAAGAACTGCAGCATAACTCGCCTTTCTCATTTTTTTCTTTTACTGGATATGTTATATTGACATCAACTTTCAACAGGGAAAGCGTTCAAGCAGATAAAGTGAGGGAAGCGCATAGGAAGGTGATGGTAGCTAACCATCCAGACGCAGGAGGTAGTCACTACCTTGCTTCTAAAATTAATGAAGCCAAAGACACCTTGCTTGGAAATACGAAGAACAGTGGATCTGCATTTTAGGCTCAACAGAGTTTTTAGTGGTGCTATAGAAGTTCCAAATACTACGCTCTTTTATAGGTATTCATGTTCTCCAGCAATTAGATAGTAGAATATTGAGGATAGTATATAATTCTTTTAATCCAAAAGATGCATTCAGTTGGATAAGTTAGCATTTGTCACCTGCACTAGTTTACCGATTGTTGGAAATTTTGCTACTAGAGTTTTAACTATCGAGTTAACTTGTACTTCAATGCATTGATGACAGATTTTTTCCTGCTGGTGCAAGTCTTTCAAAGTTTACTTTTAGCTATTCGTGAGTGTCCACGCTTAGAACAGCCAGTTATGAGCAACTACTTCTCAATTTTAGAATCGAACTGTTTAAATTCATATTGTTGGCAATGTGATGTATCCTCTTTTTTCGGTGGCGGGGTTTGGAGGGGAGGAGGGTTGAGGAATTGTAGGACTGTTACTAATAGAACCGGAGATATTTATGCTTCCATAATTTGAGTCACGTGGTCTCACAACAAAAAATTGTGTTCTTCGACAAGAACGGGTAATGCATATCAAACGCAGTGTACTGTGGTGTGGCTTTTTACTCTAAAAACAATATTTTTTGCAAGGGAAAGGTCCAAATTTGTCCACGTATTATTCAAAGTTACTCTATTTTGCACTCAATTCACACTTTTGGTCAATTCTTACCTTGTCGTAAATCATCTCGCGTTTGTCCTTGCCATTAATTAAACTCTAGCGTGAAGTGGATAGACTTAACATATCCAAATATTTCAATTAAAAAAGGCCTAGAGTACCACTTAACTGTTGCCTAGGTTTAAAGTTACTCTTAAGTGGGAGATAAAGGGTCAAGAACAAAAACTTTAAAGACAGATCCTAGCAACAAGGAATATCCAAATAAAGGGCATCTATTGAAAGATAAAGATATGCTTCTCCATGGAAATTTTCCTGTGATCATCTGTTCCTCGACCTCTGCTGTTAGGATTCATAGTGAAATCCACAAAGTACTATCCACCAAAAAAAGAAGGGGAAGAAAAAACATTTGAAGCCCATTAGGACCACTCGTACATCTGACCTTTTAGTGCTCCTGGAGAAGAGCATTCCTGTAGTATATACATCAATAGTTAGTGATCAAGAAACTATTTCCTCTCATTGTGCTGCCAAATCAAGATTTGTAGCTTCCTCCTCTCCTAAATTCGTAGCTTCCTGTTCTCCATCATCTTCCGTTGGAGCATCACTGCTATTTTCAAGAGGTCCCTGAGGGCTTCCGAAAATGGTCAGGAACATTTGTCTATGGCATTCATCACAGAAGAAGAAATAGGAAAAGTGGCCCTCATCGGGAAGCTTGTGCATCACCACTCTTGGCAGAATTCTAGCCACATAGTCAGTCATTTGGTGCGGTACAACCTGATCATCCAACCCCTGTTCATAATTCATATGCTCATGAAATATATTCTACACTGTTGAGACATAGTAGAGATATTCCTATCTTTGCGCAGATCAATGTTCTAACGAAACTCAATGCAGGAAGAGATGAGAAAGCATATGAAACCGAGGAAACAAGATCTAGATGTTTGCAAACCTGCCATATATGAACTGGTCCTAGAAATCCAGTCAATTCACACTTGACTTGACCATAACCAAACTTAAGCCATGATAGGATCCCTTTACCGGAACACTTTTCTTGAATTTGAAGATCCACAAGGCTAAACCCCCAATTTGATACTTGAAGTGAAGCTTCCTCTATAAATGGCTTTGAGCTACCCTGACGTATTGACTCCTCAACATCCCTGTGCCAGAACTCTTCAAAGGACGGTTCGCTGATCAGCGCTTTATCCTGAGAACAACACGAGAAGATACATGACAAAGACAATTAAAACGTTACAGAAGACACTGCAAGCAGAAGACAGAAAAATAAGTATCTAGTCTTTCTATATCACAAATACAGTCAATCAAATCAAATATGTTTCAGTCCCAAACTAAAGCCGAATTTACAATTTTCTGCTAAACAGTAACTTGAATACTGCTGTAATAATGGGGTAGGAAATGCAAAGTGTGTTTACCATTCACCTTTTTCTTTTTTCTTTTTTTATTTTGGGATGAACTATTTTCCCTTTTTAAGTTTTTAATTCTACAGAGTCACTTACTAGGGGCAATCCAAACTGAAAATTAAGAATGAATACATTCTGGACTATCTTTTTCTCGTTTCACAGAGCTGTACAAGTAAATATTTGCATTCCATAAACACTGATCAGACCACTTTCGAGGATCCGGGAGTGGGGTGGGGGAGGAGAGAGAGCTAGGGAGCGAGATCGAACATGAATATTTAAGGTGAAATTCATGTTACTCAACATTCACATTATTTGCATGCACAGTTTTCTAATTTCTTAGGTATAAAGGATATCTACCTTTTGTCCCAGCGACAGAGACAGGTATTTATCAATTTGACCATGCTTTCCAGATAGAAATCTGCAGCGATAGAAGTAATCAAGAAATTTTGGAAATCTTCGAGCTAAATAGTACATCAATTTCCTTTTCCTTGTCCACTTTTCCCAAGTTCCTGCCATCTCTTCCTTAGTCATGCTTGATTCATATGGGTTGACAAAGGGGGCAAACATGGCTACGCCTGTAACAGGATGATAAAATCAACAGGAAAATGATGAGAAACGTTTGTGTGATCTATTAGAGGGAAAAGTAGAAATGATGTTTTCTCAGACCATCCAGCAACCAAGGAAACCATCATATTAAAGTGCCAGTCATCCAAGTGATGTTCCTTTCATATATCTTTCTATTTCAAGAAATGGTCATTGAATGTGGTGAACTGTCTCAAAGGTATATTACAATGCCGTGTTAACAAAAATGGGAGAACGAACATACCTGCAACTCGATCAGGAATAAATTTCATTGCAGCCCAAACATGTATTGCTCCACTTGAGTATCCCAAAAGCCAGAATTTACCATTAACTCCTAGACCATCTGCCAAGTATTGCATATCCAGAGCAGATGAATTAAGGTTTCGTTCAGGGTGAGGATCACTCTCTCCAAAACCTGGAAGGTCATATGTTATCAAACGAATGCCAAACTCTTCAAGAAGAGACATTTTCACTCCGGGTATACCTATCACAAAAAGTCATCCAGAACAAGTTAATTGACATCAACCAGTGTCAAATTAATAAATATTAATCACCAGCTATACACCAATTTCCTACCTCCAAGTCGAGAAGAGAGAAAGCCATGTGGAGCAATTACAGAATATCTAGCACTATCAGGTGGAACTCCTATCTCATGATATGCCATATGTCTACCGTCTGGAAGCACTATACGAGTAGCACTAGGAGGATGTATGTACACTTCTTTCACTTGCGTGCCTGAAGTATCTTGTTTACTATTTACACTCAATGCTGCACATGTCACCAATTATCAGGACCAGAAACCAAAGAGAATCATGTGCTGGAAGGAAAAAATCTAGAGAAAGAAGCACAATTAAGATCCCAGAAATCAAATGATAGAGCCTAAGAAATGTTCAGTGAGTGTAGAAACATTAATCAAATCAGGTTATTCTGCATCGTGACTAATATACATTGGATCACACAAAGAAACAGAGGAAATACTAAAAGAAGGAAGGATGAGAATTTCTTCATCATCAAAGAAAATTCTAGATTTGGAAGTTACTCGGTGTAAAAATGATCCGTTTTATTACTCCATCCGTTTAAAAACAATCAATGCATCAGTATTTTTATTTTCAATTTGGATATTGATTTGTTAATTCTTTTTAATACAAAAGTATAAATGTACAATGATTACTCCCTCAGTTCAATTTACGTGAACATGTTTGACTAGCCACATAATTAAAAAATAAATAAAAACTTTTGAAATTTCTGGTCTTTAACATGCCATAACATTTTTGTGGCAACAAGACTTTTGAAAGTTGTGGTCTTAAAAGTTCTTATAACATTTGTGTGAATAAAAACTTGTTATTAAGGATAAAATGAGAAGTTTAAGTTAAGTTGATATCAAATTTAGAAAAGGATTATTCTTTTTGAAACTGACCAAGAAGTAAATAAGCTCACATAAATTGAAACAGATGGAGTACAGATCACAGTTTTTTTAAGTTGAAGTTAATCAAAATTAATATATGAAGAAAATCATAGCTAAATAAAAGTCAGTTTGATTCACAAATAGTAACAGTGCCAAACAGGGAGTATTTTTAAGTTTTTCCGTTTCTATGTTTAGCCGAACGTTAGATAAAGGATTTTAATTCTACAATCACAACTTTTAGGAGAAGCTAATCAACCAAAAACCTAACACTTCTAAATTTGAAATTCAAATATCGATTCATAAAAGGTCATACATACCACAGGCAAAATGCTTATATGTCAATGCAAAAGGAGAATATCTCAAACTATTAAAAGAAAGCCAAAATTTACCGGAGAGGGCGAGGATGAAGACGAAGAAAATGACGGGCCAAGCATGCACCGGATCACGATCCTCCGGCAAAAGCTCGTTCAAAACACTCAACCTCCTCGATACCTCACCCAAAGGACCTTTCGTTTTCTGCACAATGTATGATTCCTCAGTCAATAGGCTTTGTTGCACCACATCTCTACAACCTCTCACTAATTCCACCAACATTTCTCCCCAAGCCTTCGCAAAACCCTCAATTTGATCCTTAAAGCTCTCTGGCTCCGCCGCAACCTCTTCGGTCGCCGGTGATTCGTACACCGATCTCTTCTCCTCGTACACCGGCGTGGAAAACGCCGGAGTTGAGATTTCCATCGCATCTGCAGCGAACCTTATCCCACTATCCTCTACTAAGCTTGCTAGCTCGTCTCGCCATGACTTCACAACTACAACATCCGCCATTTCTTCGCGTAAAAATTATCTCTATATATAGTTTATTAGTTGTAGTTCATCGATTAATCACTCAAACGCTTCATCACACATGCGTACTTGGAGATTTACAGAAATATGAGTTTTCACTTGAGCTATTTGCACTTAAAAAACACAAATTACGAAACGAATATGCAGATTAATTACGAGTTTTCGGGAAGCAGCTGATGTTAGTAAATTTCCACAATATGCTAACAATCTATTTTAGTGTTATTAAAATTAATAAGTAGGATTTTACTGATAACCGCCACTGTACTCCGACGAAAAGTGAGGAAGAGAGCGGCGGCACACGGTGGTGGCGGTGGTGGTAGGAAAGGGGACTGACTACTGTGGAGAGAGAATATAAAGGAGATAGTGATCACCTGCTCACTGAGGTGTACTAATTTTAGTATGTGACGGTGATTAGTGTGGAGAGAGATTAATTCTGTGGAGCCCACTTTTCTTTTTTCTTTATACTTTTGAATTTTCTGGGTTGAGCCTCGCCACCTTTTTCTTTTTCTTTTGATTTTGAAAAACAATTACTAGTAAATACGTTAAAAAGCATTTTTTTTTCTATTAAACAATACTGAGAGGAACTAATAAATTAGAAGCAAATAAGCAATAGGCGATATTTTGATAGTTAGGTTATTAATTTATGGGTGAATAGTTAGTTTATATATATATATTTTTTAATATTTATGAGAAATTGTACTCGCTTTGAACATAGTAACAATAAATCCTAGTTCCTCCTCTAAGTAAAAAAGATATGCGTAGTTTTTAATTGGGAAACTACCATCTATGTCCATTTATAAGTAGCTCATTACAAAATTGGTCAATTCATTAAAAATATTACTAATATTAGCCAAATATTACTAATATTAGCCAATTAGCTATTTGTACCCAAAAAAGTTAAATTTTTGCTTTCTTTTGAGTGGATGTTATTAGAATAGATTGTGTACTTCTTAAGGAGCTTGAATCTCAGTTTTGGGATGATTTGGTGAAGTTTTGGGATGGTTTGAATTGAAAATTCGAAGTAAAAACTGAACGTGAAAAAATGATATGTGTATCACATTGTGTATCACATATGTATCATATTTGTATCAATTGTGTATCACATGTATATCCATGTATACATGTGTGTGAGATACATGCGTGATACATGTTTGATACATGTATCTCAGAAGAATTTTTTGAACTCGATTAAATTATGAATTTTGATACAAAACCAGTCCAAATCACCTCCAATCTTCCTCAAATTTTATATATTGACTTATCTATATGTTTTCAATAAATTTCAACTATATCCATTAAAAAAATTCCTTTTTTGCTTAGATTTTTGGAATGTATATATTCATCACCTTATTTGCTACCTCATCCATGAAATTTCCTTTCTGTCTTGCATCTAATGTTACTAATCACGCTTAAAAAAATGGAAGGTGATTTTTGCATGTGATTCTTTGAGATAAAGAGCCTTGTTTATTTGATTTTTTAATTTTTATATGTGTTTGGCTAGTTTTGGTAAGTTTTAACTAAAGGCTAGAGGTTGTTAAGTTGAAACTTATTTGGTAAAAATTGCACGGGGCGCCCTATTTGGTCGCCCCCATTTAGCCTATAACCATTTTTTTAAAACTTTTTAACTTGTACCCACTTTTTAAAAAACTTCAGACCCCTTTCTCCTCATCTTTCTCCCAGTGATCTCCACATCTCTCCGGAACATAACATTGATGTAACAATATCTCTCCTTTTGTGGCTTCACTCAATTCCTCGTAAGTCATCTTAGTATACATAATTAAAATAATTGTAATGTAAGAAAACCTTTTTGTGAAATGAATATTTTATAGACCGATGCGGTTCAAAATCTTTATTTTCAATCTACTTCTTCAATGTTTGTCAAAAGAAAAGTCAATTGTGTTACCGGAATCCCAATTTAAAGTGTTGCAGCTCAAAAAAAATCTAGTCTTCTTGACATTTATGGAGCTATAATATCCCCAACAGCTAAAATAGTACTACTTAATGCTATTTAAAGTCATCAGATCTCAAACTCTCGCATGCAGAAAGATCATGTAGATGAAGGGTAGTTAATCAATGATTTTTCTACAGTACTGGTCATGTATATATCCCTGCAGAAGGTATGGGTTCCTACCCCAAAAATTGAAACTTCAGCAGTACATACTCAAGGGTTTTAAAAACTTCAGCTCTAGAGGTGAAATTCGCCAGTTACAAACAAAAACTTCAGCTCTATGGCTAAAGTATGATAGTTACAAAACAAAAACTTCAACTCTAGAACTGAAGCTTACAAACAAAAACTTCAGCTCTAGAGCTGAAGTTCGCCAGTTACAAACAAAAACTTCGACAGTTACAAAACAAAAACTTCTGCTCTAGAGCTGAAGTTCGACAGTTACAAAACAAAAACTTCAGCTCTAGAGCTGAAGTTCGCCAGTTACAAACAAAAACTTCGACAGTTACAAAACAAAAACTTCTGCTCTAGAGCTGAAGTTCGACAGTTACAAAACAAAAACTTCAGCTCTAGAGCTGAACTTCAGGCCCGGCTACTAGAATGCTGAAGTTTTGCGTGATTGTCTTTGCTACTTCAGCCCCGTATGCTGAAGTTATGCGAAAAAGCGGATACGTTTGCAATTTTTTTGGCAAAACAAGCACAAGTTAAAACGTGATATAAAAAGTGGGTATATGTGCAAATGCCTCATTTATTTGGAACATTTGTGTAAGTTTCCCATTTTAATTTGTGTATTGATGTGTATGGGCTTTGCAGTTTAATAGAAGGCATTAAGGTAATCCCTAGTCAACGAATAAATTTATTAAGCTCTAGGTCTATTCAGCAGTACGGATAATAGTTAAACATAAGTAATGGTTGTAATTTCAAGTGAAAGCACATAATTAATGAATTAAGGGGTGGTTTAGTTTATTAGTGAGATAACCAAGGATATACTATGAGATGTGATATCCCTTGCGATTAACTATCTGAGCTTTCATATGGGATAGCTAATTACACTTTTTTACTGTAAAATTTATCTTGGAATTAATTACGTATAACTAAATATAATCTCAAATTTTATGTCGAGATTATTATTCTTATCTTTTGTACTAAATCATCCTTAAATATTAAGTGGTATGATGCAACAACCACAAACCTAGTGTAATCCCACAAGTAAAATTTGGGGAAGGTAGTGTGTACAGTGGCGAAGCCAAAAAATTTCACAGGAGTGTTCAAACTAGAAATAAGTAAAAAAAAAAAGTATCCCAACAAAGGGTATTCAATATATATTATGTACCTCTAAAACCTGATATGTTACCTAAATACGCAGTGTAATTTTTCGATAAAAGGTGGTCAATGACCACCCTTACTAAAGTGTAGCTTCGCCCCTAAGTGTGTACGCAAACCTTAATCCTATTTTGTGGAGGTAGAGAGACTGATCCGATAGATTTTAGGCTCAGAAAAAGCATAATCACAGTATAATTGGAAAGAAAATATAGTAACAGAGAAACTGTAGACATCGAAATTTTAAGGGATCAAGTCAAATCCTAAATTAAAGATACTACATGACTCTTGAAATCCTAGGAGTCTGTTAGGGTTTCTTGGAGGTTACTCTACCCTAAACCCTAATTCACACCTATATAAAGGGATACATATTCCTTTGAAGAGGTGTCTCAAAATCCCATAAACTCCAGGGATATTCATAAAAAGATCAAAATATGGCCGGATACTTCTTGACAATCAAATAGTTCAAGAAGCTGGAGATCAAATACATCCACAAGAGGTCTGCATCATCCTACATTCGAGAAATATGCGGCTTCAACCCTCGAATCACAGAGAATGCGGCTTCAGCCCTCGAATCACAGAGATAATCAAGAGAGAAGAATCAAGGGAACAAACAGAATTGTACTCCCATCATTTTATCAATAAAATTATGTTTCTTCATATTTATATTGTGGTTGCAATTTATTTTTGTATCACAAATAAATTTATTGCAAAAAAATTGGCACGCCCAGTGAGACCAGTTCTGCCCTTTCATCTCTTCCTCCTGTAAATCGAAAACACCAAGTTTCAAAAGCATTTGTTGCGATGGTAGAGTACTTCAAATCTCTTCTTAAAGTTTCGGCAAGCCTACCCCAACAAACCTTGAAATATGTGGCATTTGTAGACATCGAAATTTTAAGAGATCAAGCCAAATCCTAAATTAAAGATACTACAGGACTCTTGAAATCCTAGGAGTTTATTAGGGTTTCTTGGAAGTTACTCTACCCTAAACCCTAATTCACACCTATATAAAGGGATACATATTCCTTTGAAGACGTGTCTCAAAATCCCATAAACTCCGGAGATATTCATAAAGAGATCAAAATATGGCCGGATACTTCTTGACAATCAAATAGTTCAAGAAGCTGGAGATCAAATACATCCACAAGAGGTCTGCATCATCCTACATTCGAGAAATATGCGGCTTCAGCTCTCGAATCACGGAGATAATCAGGAAAGAAGAATCAAGGGAATAAACAGAATTGTACCCCCATTATTTTATCAATAAAATTATGTTTCTTCATATTTATATTGTGATTGCAATTTATTTTTGTATCAAAAAAAATTTATTGCAAACAGAAACTATAGAAAAAAACAGTAACAAAAAAATAAAAACAACAGTATAATAATAAGATAATCTAAGTAAACGTCAAAGGGTATGCTAATACAAAATTCCTTGTATGTACAATTGTTCATTAAAGTGAAGTAAATGTACATTCCCACAAGGCCACAATTAGTTAGGGGCATGTGAGGCTTGCTTTCATGTCGTGCGGCGAACAAATGTTTGTAACGTAGAAAATACTCTCTCTCTCTCCTAATCAATCCTTACCGATCTCTGCAGAAGAATCATATCTTCTCAAATAAAGTTCAAAATATTAACCTAACCAAAAGGTAAAAGCGTCTCTCTCTCACGCACTCACTAGATCAGACGGGGATAACGACAACTTTATTCATGTTAAGGATTTTAAGAACAATGACACTTAAAATAGGGTGAACGGGAAATGGGGAAATGAAATTTGTAAGTGAAATTTTAAGTTTTTTTCCTTTGGTAAAGGGATATTATCTCATATTGGAAGAGAAAGGGGTTTTTTTATGGGTATTTAAGCAATTGCTCTTCTTCTAGCTCTTAAAGAGTTGAGAAGAAGGCAAGCCTCATGCCGTCGTCGTCGTCGTCGCTCGGCTCGGCTTCGGTCAAATAATTGATTGATTAATTTTTTGGACCGAATTTATTTGTTAATAGTAAAATATTAATAGAAATGTTATTAAATATTCGTTTTAATAACAGAATATTAATATTAAATCCAATCCGTTTTTCAGTTGTGTAACTGAAAATTAAACTA